CCCGTGTGGACGCATAAACGGCAAACTCACCGGCATTTCGGCCTCTCGGTCGGCGAACAGCCGTTGTTGTTCGCGGCGATTCCCTTACCGCACGGAATATCGAACCGAAATTAAGTCAATAGAAAATGAAGAAACGTATCTCATGTGAATATTTTCTCCGACCCCCTTTGCTCGCTCGCCCTAATGCGCGTTTCAAGTCCCGCAGAGAATGGTTTATATTCAAATGTGAATTATTCTAACGGGAAAGAGAACCGACCATTATTTTCTAACCCACTTCGGCGGAGCGTGCAAATTGAAATCGCAAATAAAGGGACTTCGCGCCGAGCCGCTCCCGACCGAAGAAAGGGATTAGTTCCCGTTCCTTATAAAATATTCATCGTGTAGCCTCAACTTCCAGGTCACTAGCGCGCTTCTCGAGCTTCGAGGATGCGAGTTACGTCGCGCTTCGCGGATTTCGACCTGGCAGTGGCAGGTTGATTAAGTGTATGACAAGCGGGACGTATAGAGGAACAGGGAGACTCACGCCCGGCGCTATCTCGGGCCGGAATAACTCAGGCCTGGTCGTGATTCCGCGGACACGATTCAGGAAGCACCAGATTCGGTGTCAGCGAAAACGTTGGGAGGCGCGACACGATCGTAGAGGTGAAATTACGGTATGCGAAGCGCCGAGAGAAGCCGATATCCGTTACACGACCGGGTCCCACCGGAAGCGTCTCATGAGAGGCGCTTGTCGCACTCAGCGTCGACGAAAAATACGTGTGAAAGCGAGCGGAATGCGCTGATTGTGACCGCGTCGGTTTTAGCGATTCGGGGTGCATCGTGAGCGCGCATCTGCTTAGAGGTGACAGGAAGCGGCCGATTTAGCGCGAGGGATATTAAAGGAGGCAGGGATCGTGACCAGGAAGTGAAACTCCGTGATCGAATAAACATACCGCATGGAATAATGATCCATATACTTCGTCGAGACGCTCATACGTATCGTGAGAGGCGGCGAACGCACGTTGTATACCGAGGTCGAAAATACGTCGAGGAGGAATACGGAACGATGAGAGCGATCTGAGATTACGAGTCGGTCATTTGTTTAAGTGGAATTGCAGCGCGACCTCAGTCGAAGGTCGAAGCGGAAACGTAATGGCGCGCGCTACCCCCCGTCCAAACAGCGCGAGTTTGCCGTACCGGAACTGTACAGAAGCGGTATTGCTTCTTCTTCACCCGCCGACTGAAGCTACGTACACGTCGTATCTCCCGTAATGCGCCATTACGCTATTTATTCGCAATGCCGAGACTCTAATAACAGGATAATAGCTTAATTAAGTCGCGGTAATCCGCTCCGGCAACAACGCGCACCGCATGGATTGAACGCTTCAGGAATCATCGCCGTGAGGCGCACGCGCCTCGAAAGTTCCTTCTATCTCTCGCGGTTCACGTCATAATTGGCTGGCTATGATATAACATGATACAAGCGCCACCGCGCGTTGCCTCTCGAATATGCCGGCTCGGCATGAAATATACCTTTATATCAGATGCACATTGTTTATTGGGCTTTAATTAGCTCCGCGCATCTTCCGCGGAAACGAGAGGCGGCGTCTCGCGAGTAACGCGAGCCGTATCAGTTGAAACGGGTTCACTCGGGTTCAGCTTCGGCGGAATATAATCGGTGCTCCATTTCCCGCAAGATCGCGCCGGTGGAAGCCGCCCGGTGGCTTGAATACGTAGAAGAACAAGGCGAACGGGGAGAAGGAGGAGATACGACGGTGGGATCCTTTTACACGAGTCGGTTTGCACGAGTTGTTGTACCGAGCGAGGTATGGGTGGAGAGGAGGAGTTCACGAGGTCGGGTCGAATGGACAAGCCTAATACAGCGATTATCGGTGCTGAGTTATTAGGCTTAGCTTGAAAGGGGAGTCGGAGGATAGAGTAGGTCACGAGCGATTCGTCAAGACCTGTCGCTCCGTAAAACCGCGTGGGCGATCGCGGTGACTCCGCGATAAGCCGTTCCCTCCGATGATGATCGGCTGCTGGTGGAGACCGGGAAGGGTCACCGGTACAAAAGGACCTGTCTCGGATCGCAAATCTCCGGCCGCTGTTCTTTGTTGCCGGCTAATCCCATATACAATTTCACTTTCGCGTTTCTGCGCATTGGCCACGCGGAACTAGCCGCCGTAACAGTAGCGGTCGTACGACGACTCTTGGTCTCTCTCCGCGACGTCCGGTATATATATATATCAGTCCAGCAGAGAGGACGAGAAAGAGAAATGCACGCCGAGTTTATGGGCCACGACGTGTTGAACTTACGCCGGCGGATTGCGCACGCGGCGCAGACACGGATGAGACTTCGAAGACGATGTTTAGGTGGGCGGGCGTTAGAAAGTTTCCGAACGTGTCTGCAATTTGTTCTCCGCTCGTAATACTCGAGTTCGAGCGCGTCCTGTCTTATCCGCGTTAGACAATTTACCGACGGCTCTTACATAAGTGTGCCTGGCAACACACCTGCAGTCGGCCTGAAGAGAAAAAAAAAACGTACACCTACCCGGGATCAATTATACCGTGCGCTATGTAATGGCCATGCGCGCGGCTTCCCTCTTACTTCGCGCCGAAACGTTCCTCGAAGCGGAGCCTACGCGTTTAATTGAACGCAAACTTCGAAAGTTCCTCTCGTATCGTCAGATGTAGAAGCGTTCGTAGAATAACGAACGACTCGAGAGGTTTGTTGCGAGCAATAGCAACCGAGAGAGGCATTTTTCTCGACTTTTGGTTCCTACACGGAAAACAAGTTTGATTGCATTAACCAGGAAGGGAATAACTAGATGATTTTTGCTTGAAGGAAATAGAATTTCCGATTCTTATAATCCAAATGTGGTAATCAGAAATATTGTTTCCTTTAACCAAACTGCAACTGGCTGTTCCTTTTCTGGTTAATGTTATAGCCAGACTTTTTTCCATATATCTATGGATCTCTCTGTGTCAATTCTCGAGGGAGAAAGTTTCGCGGGAAATCGAACGATGTTCGAGATAACGTGCGAGAGGGTTGAACGGTTGAAAAGTTAGATGGAATAAATGAAGAGAAGAGAAACGCAAAAAGAAAAGAAATAAAAAAGAATAAGAAATCTCTCTCTCTCTCTCTCTCTCTCTCTTGAGAAAGAGAAGATTATTCGGACGAGAGAACATGTAAAAGAGTACTCAAACATCCAACTCATTTACCTCCCACGCAGACGGACCGAGGGTTAAGTCTGACTTACTTCATCTCCGACTAATTTGAACGTTTCAAGCGGCGAGAGGAGAAGAAAAAGCTTTTTATGTAATCCTCGCAAGGCTGCCCGATCAATCCCACGCAATAAAATCGAGGACGTTGGGGAACTGTCCCGTCTCCCGGAGGCCCGAGACTGTATCCGCGCGATATACCGCGGGATTCGCCACATCAGTCCGGGGATTGGTGTTACATCAGCGACTTGCACGCTCGTTCGTGCAATTTATAACTCCCACTTGTGCTTTCCGAGAGTACGAGATCAAGACGAATCGTGCTTCATCCTCTCCTCCGCTTAACTTCCAACCGTAGCGCCGCGGTTGACCGTGCTTAATAGTTTCTACTTGGAAAGAGAAAGAGGGACAGCGGGAGAGCGAGGAGGAGAAAGAGAGAAAGAAGGAACGGAAAAAGGAAGAGGGCGAGCGAGAGAGTTTCTGTCCCGAGGCTAGGCTATAAATCGCATCGCGAAGCTTATCAGAGTGGGATATTCGTCCGGAGTACCGAGGGCCTTCCTCTCCCCTGGGAATAAAAGAAGCGCGCGGCGGAGGAGCGAAAAAAGGAACAAGACGAAGGAAGAAGAAGAAAACGATCGAGAATTCAGACCCCCTCCCCCCTACCTCTCCCCGGGTTTGCCGACCGGAGCGCTCACTGACCCCTGACGGCTCCGAAGCCGAAGCGGACGTCACGAGAAACCTTTACCTTCGTTACCTTGGTAGTATTTAAGGATCTTCCTCGGCGCGCCGTATATACAGCTATGCAGGTACTTAGATCTTTATCCGACATTGGCCGTCATGAGGGGATACTCCACTGAACCTGAAACCTCCTCGAGAGCCATTATCGATTCCGCGAGATACCCTCCTCCGTGGCGAATTGTCTGTGAAATTGCGCCCTAAGTATGGCGTAATAGGAGACGGGCTGGGTATTAGAATATTCGATCCACTGCATTGCGCGAGTAGTGATTGAAAAGTCGATCGTCACTGAGGCCGGTAATAATCATCGAACAATCGTCGAATCTCGTGGCCGCTTATTCCCCAATCCGAGCGTGATCTTCGGACGCTGTTTTGCGTAATAAATGCGTGAGTAGATAGAACCGAGGCGGCCGGGGCTTCGCTTTTAAATCGACGTCTCGTAACGCTCGAGTGACATTCAAAGGTACCGAACGCGGCCACGTCGACAGGCGCGCGGGTTTAATCGAGATTTCAGTACCGAGAGAGGCTCATTTATTCGCCACACGGTCTCGTCACTTTCCTTTAGAGAACCACCGAAACGTAGTCGTAGACTCGGGGATGAGGGTTCTCGCGACGTTATTTATCATGCTGTTCTCTTCTTCCACGACGTTACTCGCGATTCGATCGGAGCTGATAACGGTACATCACGGAGGAGGACACGCGCGTAAAAGTACCTGTGCGCATTATTTAAGCCCGCATCACCGTCGGCGAAGTCGCGACCGACGGGGATAACGTTACGGTTCTACAAGCGAGGCCCACTTTAGCACACGTGAGCCAATTAATTTCTAGAACTGGCAGCGAGTTAATTACGTTATCGGTCATTACTAGACATTTTGTTACGAAACGAAGCGAAGAACTACCTCGCCTTGGGCTACGAGCCGTCCACAACCAACTCGGCTCGGCCAATGGCGGCCGAAGATGATAATTCTAATTGTACAATATAGGTATGCAAGTCACGAATATTGTTGCACCGATGTCCATTCGTGTTGCACAAGCCTTACGAAGCGTTCCTTCGGTATCTTCGCCGTCTGGAAAGACATAGAGAGACGAAATGCTGTCTGTGCTGGTTCTCACTGTATTCCTCAGTATCATCAACTGCTCCATTGTGAGTACTCCGCTATGAGCGCATACACAGAATATTTCATTGCAAAAGAATTTTTAACGGGGGAAGAATTTTTTCATGAAATTCACCGACAGCACAAAAGAGACGTTGCGTCACGTTACAGGGCTTCTTTCAGTATACTAGCACCATCCTCCGTGAATCGCTAGAGTTTTTTAGAAATCCTTTATTCCTTCCTAAACTTTCGGAGTCAAATGGCAAAGTGTATGTAAAGGTCGTCATAGATATTACGGAAGATGACGAATTATGTGTACTAGAATATACGTAAACTAAATATAAGTGAAAAATGTAACAACACAATGACGAGAACAACAATCCCGAAAATATGGAATTCTCCATAAAATAAAATCGTCTGATTTTGAGTTTTTTCGATTAATAGTAATATCGATTCTTTTACAATCCATTTTAAGTAAGAGTAAACAAATTGTATGACTTGATATTAAATACGAGACATGTCTAATTAATACAAAATTGTACTTAGACGAGATATACTTTTTCCCGTTTCCATATATACATATTATTATTATATGTTATTAACTTATATGTTGTTAATTTTGTGAAATATTTTCCTGCTCGATCACATATAACCCTTCTTCTTTCTTTTACCAGGTTTCGGTGAAGAGTTTCGATAACGTACAATTTTTGATTCCGGACAATTGTCTATCCCTTTGTGAACTTTTGGAAAAGGAAACTACAAATTCAAATGGTACCTTATCTAATTTTAAATTTTCACGTGCCTTTAATTTAGATGGAAAGCGTTGTCTTATACCGGCTGTAAGTTGCGTAAAAATTCGATTGTCAAAAAATATTTTTATTAGATATTTGAATAATTCTTTCTTTCTCTCTCACATATATGGGCGCGCGCACACATACACACACACACACATACACAGGGAAATCTGAGGATAAACGTATATTTGCCTCCGCAGTATACGAGTCTCATTAATGATATTGGCTGTAGAAAATTTATATATGAAGTAGTAATAGAAAAGTGTGGAAATTGTGAAAGTGTGGGAAAGCCGACCAATTTCGGAGCATATCTCTATGCGAATATCGCCTTATATCTACAGCCGAAACGTTGTTCCAACAGTTTGATGTAAACACATCCGGTAATGAACCTTTACATAATATTAAATAACAAAACATTATATTTTTAATTGATGGGGCTTATATAATATAATATATTGGATGTACGTTAAGTGTTCCATAAATCATTCATAGCGATGATGTTTCTCACGCGGCATTGTTATTATAATGTGGCACGATAATCTGACATAGTCACGAAAATGGTTCTCGTTGCGTGCGCAGCTCACTCCATGAGGATTTATAACTTGATTACATAAGCTCATGATAGACAATATCACACCGTTTATGAATTTTTCGTCCGTCACGAGATCACGAGGATGGATAACGAGGTGCCAAGTTTCATAAGCACATCCTTACTTATCGAGCGCCTGCATCATTGACACAATGTGTGTTGGTGTGTACACGCGGCCTCGACGTACACAGCGACGTGAGTACGAACAGCTCGCGAGAAACCGTCTAAACGTCTTATCAACCTTCATCGGATAATATCGGTGCCTGAACCTGAACGTAATGTTTATGAGTAATGGTTCGAGATCGCGGCGGTGAGGTTGGCTCCGGTGAACCGTACGCGGAATTCGAGATTTAGATACAAGCGCCGAACTTAACGTCGACCAAGCCGCATCGCCGTTACACGTCACAGTCCTCAGGCTCATCTCCCGCCGGATTTGTCAGTGGTGTTCCGTTTCTTTGGCATCGTGGCCATTCAGTCGCCACATTATGTTAATTTTATGTTCTTACCCCGAACGCGATACTTTCTATCGCCGTCAGCTACGTTTATTAGCGAGTGCGAGTCACATTAGCAAAATGCCATGCTATTGTTAAACTTTATAAAACTCAAAACGTATACGGCCGAATGGAATGTTCAGTAACGAATAAAATACTTAAATGCGTATATATATATATACGGCGGGCTGTTAAACAAATGATTCCACATATAATCACTAGAATGCGCCACTTAATAATGGAAGTATTAAAGGGACCATGATATCTGCGAAGGCCGTAATACCACCTCTAAAATTCAATGTCTCGCGTAGCTTCGTAACAATAGTGAGCGTTATCGCGATGGCGATGATTCAGAAAGAGAAGCAAGAAAGCAAACAAGTTGACCCGCAATTAAAGAATACGCGCATGGATAAACGCGTCGTTCGTTCGTTGAGGCATCGCACTGTGTTACGCGCTCATGCGCTAAATTGCAAGATTATTGTTCCGAGCGCGGACGTAACGGTTGCGGTAACGCATCTCCTCATTCTTAATTAATGGCACTGCGAGCGCGCTAATTAACCGTGGGCGTATTATGCGTACGGTTGCGAAATCGACCGTGCGAACATCGGTATTGATAAAGGCGCGATAACAGAGCGCTTGGCCGCCTTTCACGGGGCGAATGTATTCCCGTCGCGTACGACGAAGGATACGCGCCGCGATATCGTAAGCAGTGCGTGACCTTCCGTGTAATAAGTAAAAATAGCGGCTACGGGAGAGGCGGCGTATGAAATTTATCGATACGCACACAACCTTCCCCGAAGACGTGCGAGCATGCGCGGTCGCCCGGCGGAAATTCGCGCGAAGCTTACGCGCGCGCGTGTAAAATCTTGCCGCGCATCTACACGCAGGATCTACAATCCCGCGCGCGGAGATACTCAAGCTTCAGCTCCACTCGACGTCAGCGGGCATTATCGAAAGAACAAATAAACTTAATAATCGCGCGAAAGTGCGTCCGATCGCGGCCGGTCGGAAGAGGTGCCGATAAGGTCAGGCTTTATCGCTGGATTTCAATACACCCGATAAACATTCGAGTATGAGGAGAGAGAGAGAGAGAGAGGGAGAGAGCCTGATTGCCGAGAGGAAACCTGTATCGAGAGGTTCGCGTGCAGCGAAGAGAGGACGGGAGTGTCGAAGAGGGTGGAAGGGCTCCGTCGACGAAGGTGATTCATTAGTCGTACAACACGGAAGTGTTTGGACCATGCGGATTCTCGACATGTTCCCGCTCGTACGTGTACGCGTGTCTGTGTGCGTACGTGCACCGAGCAGGACCTCCGGGGCCAAAGCGGGCTCTCTCTCTTCGTGGGCCTCCGCGCCTTATTATGCGCGACGGGGGCCTCTCGAACGAACCGAGCGTTTCGGCCGATCCTCGGCTCTTAAAGCTTAAAGGACAGAATATATCGCGATAATTCTTCCCGTTCGATCGCGCGGACCAGAGTCCGCTTTTTTCCTTCTTTTTTCTTTTAACTTAGCGTTGTCACTCTCTTCTCCTTTCCGTCCCCCCCCCCTCTCTCCATAGAGAGCGAAGTCATCCACCTCGGCGCGAGAGGAGTACCCCAGGTAGGCAGGTGGAAGCGGATGTAAGGGTCGAGGAGTAAGAATGGCTTCTTAATACCGCGACCCCGCGCGTTACCCCCTGTAGCTAATCTAGAATTTATGTCGCCTGTAACTTGCCGAGGCGCACTTTATTACGTCCGGAATATGAGAATTTCATCTGCCGCGTGACCCCGCGACGGTGTCGAACGGGGGTAACTTGATACACCTCGGCGGTAAATTCACGGTCGTGTTAGAGAGCTCCATCCGGTTTCATTAGATCCGCGATATCGAGTTTACTTCGGACGTAGCCGAATGGCTTGTTAAGTTGACGCGAATGTCGCGAGAGGCTGTAATATATGAACGAGTTACTGATACAGCGAGAGCGTATCGTGTGCGAATGTGTTCGAAATTCAAATTTGCGATGGGCAAGACACATCGTGCACAGCAGCTTAGCGAGTCGCTCGTTGGGATTCAAATCGCCGTGACGATCCTGAAAGCTCTTCTGGCTTAGAAAGGCGACCATCGCTTATTAACATCGCGAGTCGCAAACGATAATTGCGCGACCGGGGCGAGTAAGCTTACGCCGCGGAATCATGAACCTGTCCGCCCGTAAGAAGAGCTACCGGAGCGTCTCGGATTCCGCCGGAGCGGTCTATTAGTAATCGCGCCTCGGCGAGTCTTCTCACGCACCGCAAGGACCGCGAATTCTGCAAATTGCTTTCTGCTTCCTGGTTCGCCGCGGCTCATTCTCCGCCTGCCGATCAAACGGTATCCCGCCGGTATAATCCGGAGAATCCGCCGACCTTCCGCCGACGGATTACGCGCGATGAGGTCTCGCTGGGATTCTCTTCGCGCAGGAACGAAAGGTCAAGCCGGCCAGGATATCGAGGGCGTTCTGCGATTTTCGAAGCGGCCGGACTCGCCGAACAATAATCCGGCGTTATCGCGACGCGGAAATTCCGCTCTCCTACGTTCATGAACGTCTCTAATTGTTCGGTCGTTGGTTGAGCACGAGTAAGTCCCTGTGGGTAATACGCGTCCGATTATACACGCGTACACAAATTGATACGCTTTAAAACGGCGTTACCACCGTGAGACGTTTCTTGTGGCGTTATCTTTTATTACGCCTCGCGATACCATCGATCGTCAATTATCGCTATCGCGAGCGTCACGCCGCCAATTACGTTAAGGAAATGCTTCTGGTTGGAGGATCCTCTTCTTCCCCCGCGCGCCCCGATTAATTATAACGATACCCCCCGGTCGAATGAAATATCGGCTGATATTAGCGCATATTCGTATGCGCTGTGTGTACAGTCGGACGCGGGGCTGCAGAGATTATACACGCGGATCTTCGCGCGCCGGCGAACCCGCCGCTGCTGGCAGCGTGACGAGTCGCAAGTCATTCAGCATTCCTGTTACGGCGGGCAGCCCGAAGTCGGGCTCCTCGTCTCGGTTCCCCGCGGTCCTTTTAGCCGGCAGCCAACGTCGGTGTCCCAAAAGGACCGAAACGCGAAGCCGGTCCCCGACCGAGCGCTCGTACGAGCTCGATCGCCGAGGAGCGAATAAACGGAGCGGCGCTTTCATTTGCGCCGCGCAATATCGCGACAGTTATTGCCGGTTCGAAACAAACCGCGCTTAGAGAAACGGCCGATGCGAAATACTTCCCGTCGAGTTCGCGTGAGAGCCGATAGCGCGGCGAAAATGCGCCTTAATGAACTTCTCTAACTGTTCAACAACTTTGGCCTTCGAATTCCGTTAAGCATCGGATGAGAGCTGCATTAGCTTTGTCACGATGCATCAGATGTGTGTAATTCCCGTCGGGTGTTAATTTATGTTACTTGTATAAATTAATCGTTCTTTTTTTGGCGATTCTTAGCATCGCGCGACTATCGATGATACATCCTCAAAATTTGCGCGCGGCGCAATTTGCTTCGGTGTTACGGTTTCCTCTCGTTATTTCCGAAAACTCGAGTTTTTTTCCACAGACCACGTTTCACAGACGGCAACTTAAACTGATTTAATAACTTTCGTAATCCATGTTTATGTGAATAGCATAGAATGGGTTTGATAGTTTCCGCTGGTGAGACTGAGCGATGTTACATGTCGTATAAATAATTATGCTATGACTATGTTGCGTGACACATAATACTATATTATAATAAATTCTACTCCCTTCAATCAAAATACATTTGGTCGTTCCCTTTCTGGCTGATACAACCAAATTTTTTTTTTCCGTATATTTTCGCCTAAACATTACAATGGTTAGTTATCACAAGTAGTAAATTATTTTGGAGAAGCAATACTATGTTAGAAAAATATCAAGGGACTTCTTTCTGTTTCAATGGAACAATATTTGATATGTAATCAAGTAAATTTTCCTCTTTCATTGAAAACTAAAAATTTTTCTCCTCTAAATAATATTGTTTTTTTCTATCAAACAACACGGTTTACTCTGGTGAAACAAGAATATTTTCATTCAGACGAAATGATGTTTCATATTAAACGACGTTGTTTATGTTAAACAAACACGTAAATCCAAAGAAACCTTTTCCTCTCTGTATACAGCATTGAACGGCCCGATGAAAATAATGATTCCGCTTGCTTACCGATGGCACTGTCGCTTGAGTTCCCGTCGAATGCTGCTGCGTGTCCGAATGAAGCGCAGCGCACCGCTGCCGAGGGAGCCCGTGCGTTTCTCCCCTTTCTCGAAGGTTGGCAA